TACTGTTGTGAAAGCACCCTTATACTAACTGGAAATTCGGTATGAACGGTAGCTTCACGTATAAAGTGTATTAGATTGTGTTGTGTATTCGTAAATTACTAACACCATCCAGAGTACAAATAGGTAAAGAAGGCAAAGCAGTCGGCGCCATCTGTCGTGTAAAAAATGCGATGGACGTGCGAAGACGACGACGACGGAACTGAAATAAAATCATCTCTCTCACCATCTCAATACGCCCTGATCTCGTACACTAATCGTATTGAACTTGGTGGCAATCGCTTCAGAACCTTCAATTCCTATAGTGAATGTATCAATAACTTTTCCTCATATATAGCGGTTCATAAGATATTTCGTTCCAAACACAGGTATAAGGAGTTGACTCGAGTAAAGAGTCTCGGCGCGCTGCGCCCTGTACAGCCGGTTGCCTGTACTTGGCGCGAGACTCGACCGAGTCTCTTGATTGAAGAATTTAATAAAATGATGAAAGGTGGAAATATTGTTTCCTTAATGTGTTTATTCTTTTTGTATGAATTATGTATATACATGTAGTTTTATTCCGTGGATCAGGCATCTATCTGTCCAAGGCGGATTCTGGGTTGATTTTGTATTCTTCCTTGCAACGTAATTAGATAAAGAAAAAAAAAAACGATGATCGACTGATGATAAAATAATGACCTCACAACGCAAGTCACGCAACGCAGCGCAACCTAATTTTAAGCAGCTTCATCACATTGTCAGTTCCTGTAAAATAAAATGATTTATTGAAGTTTACAGATGCCTTTTGCATAATCTTAAGTATCTGAAGTTTTATTAATAGCGTCAGTCTGCCAAGATTTTCGACATTTTTCAATCCGACTGTGATATTAAATAGCGAAACCTTGCACGTTTTTCATCATGAATATTATTATAAGTATTCCTGAAAATAAAACATTATATCGGTATTAACTCACCATAATAGCGTTAACAATGTCGTTCTGGTTATTCTTGAGAGCTTTAATTGCCTTCCCTCGAGAGACATTGGCTTGAGACATTACCAACTCAATGTCCTTCTCTTCGACGCCCGTTTCGTCGACTTCTTCTTCGGATTCCTCTTGAATTGGTGCTACGACCTATAAGAAAAAAACATTTTTCATAAAGTTTTAATGTATTTTTTTGTTCAAAAGGAACTACTTAATTTTCGCCTTACCGTTGTACTTCCGCCGGCTTCAGTTGCAGGAATTACGGCCGGCTCCTTGAATTTCTCAGCAGCAGCTACTTGAGCTTGTTGGCTAAGATCCTCAATCTGTTAAAACGAAAAAAAAGAATAATGAAAGGCTAATTGTTAATAAAAATTAGGGCAAATTATTGTTTGAATAATATATCAGTCTGCCAAGTTTTTCCCCATGGGTTTTTCAGAATATTATATACGAAACCTTGTAGAATCATCAGAATTTATTGATCTTAACCATAACCATACGATTCATAACTATTCTTACCTTTGCCTCACCAAAGACAATGTAAGTGTCCGAAGCTGGGTTCTTCAAAACATCTGGCTTATTGATAACAAAGAGAATGTTCTTTGATTTACGAATTGTGACTCTGTTTACCCCTTGTACCTGATACATATAGGTTATTCATGTAAAAATAATTATTCTAGTTCAACAATAATACCATATCAATCATAGCATAACAAAATCAACTTTCTTACAGGCTTTAGACCCAATTTGCTCATAAGCTTCCTGGCCTTCTTCTCTCCACGACTTTGTTTGGCTTTGGATACCATATCGATAGGCAGTCCTGTCAAGGTACTGCCTGGAAAGCTAACAGTGCCCCCGACACCTGAATCTTCCAGCTCAGGTATTGAGTCATCTGAATCAGAGTCAGTACCAGATCCAGCAGCTGCAGCCTCAACCTTAGTAGGCTCGGAGGATGCAGCCTTGTCTAATTCAGTCAATTCAGGCATGATGTATAATCTGTAAAAAAAAAGCACAGAGTTACAAAAGCTTCCTCCGTTTTGCAAAAATTTTTGGCGCAAATTACTTATAAACAAACAATGCTGGTTATTTTAACTAATCTACGTTAATTCCTTTTATGATTTCACAATGATTCGACAAGGACGTCCATGTTAGAACCAAAATCCACGTGCTTTGTACCGGGGTTCGTGAGACCCCGGCAATTCTAACAGATACTATAGAACATAACTGTTGACCTTAATTATAACCCACAGTCTACCTACGACAAAAATTCTAATGAAGACGTATAAATTAAATTCTGATAATTTCACGTATCATATCCTTTTTCGACAAACCATTATCGCGGTTGGGTGGAAGTTGTTATGGCGCCCGCCAAAGAATTCCAAAAGTGAAGCTCATTACAATAAGTAGGCCAATACTCTTTGCCATCGTTAATAAAACCGTAACGTACATCGCGATTGCATAAAATAGGATAAAAAATCAGCGATCGATCGATGCTTTATTAATTCGACGCCTTTTGAGGTGGGTCGATGTCAACTAATCTTTCACAGAAAACTCACGAAAGCCAAAGCTCTGACGTTGATGTTAAATAAAATTACTAAATATTGTTAATAGCCACATGTAATATTAACATTCGTCTTTCGATTTTTCAACACCACGAGTCGATCTGAGCTACGATTCCGCTGAAATTTTCAGATTTACCTCGGGCAATGTTCCGTCGACAACCGAGCACTATTTTAGCATATAAACTGAGACCGATTCACATGAGTACGACTCTGAGCTGCTTCTCGCAGTTTTAAGAACGCCTGGATCTGCCTGGATAGAAGAACGCGTGTATAATCGAGTCTGTATTTCCGGTTTTCCGCGAAACACCAATTTTCTTCACAGAATTTAAATACATGTTTTATAAGCTTCTGTTGAGTTATTGACTACGTTTACACGGCGGTCTTAAACCCGTTAAATTAATACTGATCTAAAGGAATTGAGCAATCCCAAATATTTCTTTCAAATAGAAATGCCTATGATATGTCTATTTCTTTAGATTAGTATTAACTGAACCTGTTTAAAACCGTCGTGTAAACGTAGACATTTATTATTTACATTTATGTATTAAAGGTTTCCATAAAATAAGTGATCGCTGATCAGAAAGTTTTGCACAAACTTGAATTCATGTCGTTTCATAAGAGTCAGCAAGTTCCTGGATACATTAGAAACTATTCAGTGACTGTTGCGCGAGAAAGGAACAAGATTGCTGGATGATTTAAAACAGTAATCAGCAATTAGTTTTCATTCAAAAGTATATTTCATCCAACAATATTCCAAATCAATTGATTCTCTTATAAATACAAGTGACAATAGCCGATCAAGTTTCGTAGGATTATACACTAGTATAAGTCTTATTACGCGTTACTTCAGTTAGTCGACTTCTTAAAAATACAGATAAATATATGAACTTCAATTAACGATCGTTAAAACGAAGCGTCGAACTCGCAATAAATCATTTTCTATCTTATATTACGTCACAGTTTCGCAGTTAATAGAAAAATTGACTCACTAACACGCATCGCAACTTCGTATCTAGTGACGAGCAGAATGAATTTGCGAGTTGAATTCGTTAATTCGATCGAATTAATTGAAAATCAAGACGGTGTCGTTACGTATTGAAAACCGCTAAAACGGTTTTACACAAGGACACTTAAACATTAATAAATAATGCTCTATATCTCATCAGCGTAATCAGCATTCCGTAAATTTATTCCATAATCGCACAGCACGACGAACAGGTAATATCTTGACAAGTTGTGGACACATTAAAGATTCCGTTTTAAATTTTACTGATTATAAATTAATATGTTTGAATAACAAGATATGAGGATGATCTAGTATAAATTGAGAATTTTTAACTATTAATAATGAATGCGGTAATTACTATAATTCATTCCCCATTAATAAGCACTGAGAGACACAACGGAAGCTATAATTATATTTTATACGATTCAAAACAATTTTTTTCTCTTCTTCCAACAGACACTTCTGACCGTGGCACGAAGTGTACGATCTTTGAACAAAAATTTTCATCTGGAAGGGCCAACTACTGACCAAATGTTTACAGAACCCGCCGCCATTATGGGTTCCAGATCTAATTCAGAAATTGGTTTATCAGAGAGAGAAAAATAATGGAGAATCCACAATCATTAAAACGCTTTTTAACGAATGTAACGTACTTTTTTTTCCTTACGAATACATACCTAATATATTACTGACAAGAGATTAACAGTCTTGCTCGTAATAAAGTTTTTCTAATTTTTTCTATCTTCCCTTCAACGTCTTAGACATACAAAAAGGTATCGATCGAAATGATCTGTAACGCTTAATAATTAATTTTAATTAGTTTCCAATTTAAAAAAGCGACGATAAGTGACTTATAAATTTGGAGGTTTTTCGACTTCCATTTTCTCAGTTTGCAATATTTCCTCCTCCTCCTCCTGTTTTTTTTTTGTTACGATTTCCGACTCGGGACTTTCAATCGATGCTGCGTGTAAAATTGATAATGTAATCGAAGCTCGCTGTTTTATTTCTGTTTTATAAATAGTTTCACTTACTCTCTTGTATATTCTCTAGTTTCATTTCTTTCTCTCTTAGTTTTCTACCTTCTCCGCATTCTCCTCCTTTTCATTCTCATCCTTTTCATTCTCATTCTTCTCATTATCTTTCTTCTCATTCTCTTCCGTCTCGTCTTCTTTTGGCTTCTCCACCACCTCTATATCCGAGTCTGAAAAAAAATTAAACATCTTTAATGTCTAATGAAATGCAGAGTTCAGGTCCAATGGATTTTTTTAATGAATAGTTTTGACTTTCCTAATGTTCGAATTTGTTAATACGGGAGAAGATCTATTTATTCCAGGGGTAAAGTGATAACAATGAACTTACAAATTTCAAGATATCTAATTGCTCTCTGTCCGAGAGTCCAAAGAATTATCATCTGAAAGTCGAAATGACCGTACACGTTAAAAATAAACTGTATTTTCCCTCAAGACAGTACAGTGTATCGTTTCGGAAGATTTTGAAAGATTTTTCCTGATATTATAGACAAAGAAAGTGAAAATATCTCAATAGAAACAATAATCACTGTTTTGCAGTATTAATAATACTTACCTGTGTCCGATGTAGTGGAAGTACCATCATCTGGAGTGGGTTTTGCAGACTGCTGAGTATCACCGAGAACATTACCCAATGATTGATTGCCGATAATTAGACTAGTATTAACATTAGCACTGGTATCAAAATCCAATTTTGGAGCTGAGGGTTTCTGCTTTCTCGCTGGATTCCAGAAGTTACAGTAGCAACATCTGAATCCTATAAATGATACAAAAGTTCCTGGATACATTTGTAATACAAGTACAAGCTCATCGTTTCACTTGTAAACTGACCAAAGCTTACCAAAATATTCAAATTCCTCTTTAAGTGCCATTCCGTTATGAGATTCACATTGGCGGCAAATTAGAGCATAACGATTCGATGGTCCATCACCCACTAAGTATTCCACCAAGCGATCCAAGTAGCTTCTTTGTTGAGGAAGTATAGGACGTGGTAGAGGAGCTCCTGAAAATTAGATATCAACGTTAAACTATGATTTTAAAAATTCCAAACATATTAATGTTGTTGCGCAACTTTGCACTAGCGGTTTTGTGTTCAATGATAATAATGATCGATGACATTAGAATGGTAAGAAATGAAGTGTGGAGTGTATATCAAATAAATAAAAAATAAATAAAGTAGAGATACTAACTGGGGCCTGTTCTTGGGTCATTAGTGAATCTGGTAGCTGACTGGATGGGGGTACTACAAATTGGAGTTTGCGCAGAAGTTACGCCAACTGGTGCAAGACCACTGTTAGCAGGATTACCGATTTGATTTTTTTGTGGTAGATTCGAAACTGTCAACGCTCTGCGTCTTAATTCGCCGGCTCCAGGCAATGTCGGTACAATAGCTTGCGGTGTGCTAGGTCGACGTGGCGTTTCGGTAGGTGCTACTACCTTAGACATCGGCTAAAATCAAATTATTCTACATAATTTCCATCTGTAAACTTCCAGTAATTTAGATCACCCGTCATTGTTCATACTGACTGTAATTGTGATATATAAATTTTGATTGAGATATTAATTACACTGATTTTTGTCCCGTACACTCAGCGTGACTGTATTTTTTACATACTGATTTAGATAGAATATCGCAATGGAATTTCAAGAGTATGTAAAACGTGCTCCGAATGAAATTATCTACATACCTTAGGCGTCAACTGTAAATTAAGAGAAAAAAAAAAAAATAATAAAGATATTGGGTACATAAAGAATTAAAACACAGAGAAAATAAACAAAGTCTTTGCTTATTTCGATACAGTGATAGGGATCTAATCTGTACAAGACTAATTATACTCTACCCAAACCATGCATACACCAAAGTACGATAAAACGTGCAGACTATGTAAAATGTGCAGAATATTCTCAAATACTGTTACTTTACTTTTGTGCCAATGGAATGCCTACGAAGTAAATTGAGAGCAAAGGCAGTTACGATATAACTAAATAGAAAATCTATTTCTACTAAAATTGTATTTAGAAAAAAAATAAAGTAGTCTATATAAATAAGAGCAATGTAAAATTATCCATGTACAAAGTACCAGAACTAGCGATTAAGGAATTGATATATTTCCTTTTCCCCCCCTTTCTTTTCTACTTCTCCATCCGAATCTCTCTTTCTCAATGGCTGATGACTTACAGGTGTCATCCGTAGTTGATCAGGTGCAAACTTCAGTAATATCTCCTTGGCTTTCTTAAAAGTTTCTGTTTCTGTGACCTGGTCCAATATCTTCTTCTTTTCGCTCTGCATGGTTATTAGTTTTTCTTGGTTTCTGGATATTTTTCTCTTATAGTACCATGAGATTAATTTTTTTGTGAACAGTATTCTATAAACAAAATAATGATAATCATTCATTAAGTCTAGAAACAGTAAACGGACCATTGTTATGAATGACTTACAGAAAAGGGAATAACAGAAGTGGCGTCATGTAGAATATTTGATCGTATAAAGCTGCTGGGAAAAAGATGAAATAGAAAATAAGTGATACCACAATATAAAGAGCAACACTGTAAATGACAAGTCTCCCAACAATCTTTTTATGCCTCGTTTCTGTACTTTGTCCATATTCTTCTATGTCTTTGATCTTCTGTTCTCAAGAAAATATTAACTGTTTTATTACTACGCTACATCAGTATATTATATAGTAGTTTATTAGTCTTATATGGAACCGCACTTACTGCATCTAAATCTTCCAGGACCTCAATGGTTGTTTTTGTTTTCTGAAATAAAAGCACTTTCATTTATATTAACTCTTGTTTCACAATCTGTTGCATCACACTGGTGTAAAATGGTATGTGTTTTTAGGGACATATAAACTAAATATAATTAATGACATCACAATTGCCAATTGAGTCAGTAAATTTATTTTTCATAGTGAATCATGCCTGAGAACAGCCATTATCATTCCATGAGTATATTCTTCATTGTTAAATGACAAAATCACCATCGAAAATTGCATAATACTATAAACGGATACCTTTCGTGAAACTAACATAAATTTTCGTACACAAGGAGGCAAAGTCATTATATGCTAATGTAATGGTCAAGTGTCGATTCACAAGAATAAATTAACGATCAATTTCGTGCAATCATTGGAAACACTATAAGTAAATATATCCCACCGGCAAAATCCCTAACAACATATAAAAATAACAATTTTCATACCAGTAACCATTTGCTACACTAGTTTAATTTTACTTTCCCAAAAATTTAAACGTCCCGCCTAACCTCGCCGCAATATATCCGATTTAACATAATATCTCAAAATAGTCTCAAATAATTTCTGAGAAGACTTTATATAAAATTAAAAGGATAACCAGAAATAATAGAAATACATGGTCAAATTCAGCAAAAAAAGGTACACGATTGGGAAGCAAGACATTGGTGTTATTTAACGGCAGTTAACCTAGACAAAATACGAATCACCGAAATATAGAAAATTGTCATTAAAATATTTATTAAGATATTCATTTCATAAATTCTAAAGTAATACTCACGCGAAACCTGGACAGGAGTATCCCCATTATATTCTTGTATATTTATGAATTGAAAGAATCCACAGATTAAAGAATAATCTAGCCAATATGTCAGACTTGATGAGACTGACCACGGCGAACCCGCAAGATTTTAAAATAGAATTGGGCGTCGTGGCTGCGGCCTTCTTTCACTCCGTTACGGCCTATGTACTTGCACGTTCTAAATTTAAATGCTACCCAATTAGGTTCGATATTTATAGAGTATAGTCCTTGTTGTAACAAACTTTCAACGACTTGATCGGCGAACAAAAATATACACAACACACGTCGACGACGCCAATGACGACAAGGACGTCAACAGCACTGACAACAGGACTCAAGGTTTGAATATCCAAGATATACCAACGATTTTTATTTTTTATCATTAATGCAGATTATTACATTAATTTGCAATATTACACGAGTAAATTTTGTTTATTGTTTAAAGTTTAGCATATCCTTTGAAAATGGTGATTATGTCATATGTGTATTTGTTGACCTTAGCGTCACGTTTAAAACAACATAGTCATTAATTGATAAATCCGAGATATTGAATTTACATGACATTTTTCGATATTGTCGGTAAAGTAGCTGGGAATTTCCTTTGGCGGGAATTTCTAGCTCCGTTATAATTACCATGCGACATTAACGACCGATACCATTTTCATTTGAGAAACAACTTTACAAATATAGTCACTCAAACTTTTATTTTTTCTTCTTTCTCACTGTGAACATTATCTATAGCTACGCTAACGTATTCATTTATCAATGGTATTGATTCTTCTATCAGAGATAATTCTCTTTGCGATACTTTTGGAAGCCCGTAGTTCTTTTGTACCCCATTCGGTCCAAATTCGAGTTCCGAAGCGTAAAAACGACAGACTGGCAATACATTTGATCTGACAAAAGCACATGAGATGATATTCTTATAACCACTTAAACCACCAGCAAGAGAAACGATCAATTTCGCAGCGGCAGCACCGCTTGATATTTTAGGTCCTTTCAATTCTGTACTAGCCAGTTCCTTGTCAGCAGATCGAAGTCTTCGTAACAGCATATTTTCTTGATCCTAAACTCACACAAAACACTTTAACTCGTCTATTTATAAATATCTAAGAAAAAGACACCGATAACGGACCTTTGTGAACAGATTAATCGGTTTAGCATGGGACAATAATGGAACCACTGTACAAGGATCAGCACCACCTACGATTGGCACCGAAAAATATGCTGGATTCAAATCCAATAAATGAGCAGCCATTGCTTCAATTCTCATGCAATCGATTGCTGTAGATCCAATTATTCTATCAGGATCCCACCATCCCGCACGTTTATATAATTCAGATACCATTGCCAGTGAAGATGTAACGGGACGTGCAAAAATCGCGACTAGTGCTGTGGGGCAGGCGTGAATCATTTTTTCAGCCATTCTTTTAACGTACGTAGAAGTTACCATAAATTGAGCTAAAGGTCCTGCTTTGCCCATATCAAAATCTGTTTCATCCATTAAAGCAATGATATCCATCTGAGAAAAAATAGGTAATTAGATTTGATATATTTTACCATGAACTACTTGGAACGTACATCTTTTAAAGCCTCCATTAGATACTTTGATTTGAAATGTCTTATCTTAATAGATGTATCAATATGACCCATATCGAAAATTGCACCAGCAAGTGTATCCTTTGTGTCAACAATATGAAGAAGCTTTATTACTGGAGACTGTTTTAGAAGCAATCCTGTATAAATTGGTGTCATTCCTCCTCCAATGATCGCTACATTAATGCTGCCACGACGATTAGACGGACCATTAATAATTTTGGGAATGCAAGACGATGACGTAATTTTATCGTCTATATTATTTTTTGAAATATTATCTTGCGATGATGTGGTATCCTTAATGGTAGTAGGAGAATTGGAAATTGTAGGATGAACACGTGGAATTTCTGGTAATCGCACTGTAATCGGTTTATAAACTGAGGCGATAAGGTATCTTGAAAGGTGAAACATCATTTTTAGATTATGTGAAACTGTAATGACGAAATCATTTGATTATTGAATTATTTAAGAAATATTTAATCGTACGAGAATTTTCCGAAGACTATTATAAGGTTATTAGTATATGTCATGTGTGACGAAAATGACATAATGCTTAATAAGATATTCATTTTTTTTTCTTATATTTTTTTGGACATTGAAGGACCGCGAGGGTTAAAGGTCATTTATTATCTTTTCTTTTATATCAATGTTTTTATTATAATATTAAAAATATTGGATTCTTTCATTTTCTCCCAGTCTTGTCACCTCCTTGCTCTTTTGGGATAACCAGTTTTCCAGGAGTGTCTGTAAAAATGATAACCGCTAGAAACTACATGTTGATAAAAGATTATACAAGGAGTATTTATATGTTATCTTTATTCAAAATATACTATACTATGCTCTTTTCTCTAAACTGTCAGTTTAATTAACATATATATCGGACAATACAATGAAGAAGTCATTAAAATCTAAAGTATATTAAAAGATTATGGAAATTGCCGCAGGTTCTTTATCGATTTAACTGTTCATTCATTTTATGATACTTATCGTATAAGTTTTGGACACTAGGTTTCAAAGTGTGATTATGTTGTTATAAAAATGTACTAAAAAGTACATTTTCGGGCTACCGTAATGGTTTATAAAAATGAATGAACCGCAAATGCTAGTTTTGCTGAACGATAAGATCCGACATATCAGACGAACTACCAACCGAAAGAGATTTTTCATTGGCTAAATGTAATAAAGAGACAAAAGCTATAGGAAAGCTTAAAGCTTCAGCATTGTTCTTTGATAATGTTTTTGGCAATTCCTTATAAATATCAGCAAAGTTCTTGCTCTCCGTTATCTTAACAGCAGTTTCATTTTCGACAGCTTCTCGAATATCAATATTCTCCTTATCACTAGATGTCTTCAGCAAACACTTCCAAATGCATTTCTTTAATTGACGCATATCGATTTTCTTAGCGCGTTGAGAGAATGGAATAAATATTTTATTGGCAAGTTTAGGGGCAGTGACAAGATTGTCGCCAGTGAAAGGTTGAGTGCATAATCCACCATCGTCATCCAGTTCAAATGCTCCACCGACGTCGCAATCGTTATCATCACCAGCATGATAATCTTCAGTGTTGACATTGGGGCAGTAATTAGTTCTGTCGTTTTCATTATCATAATTATAACCAACTGAATCATCCTCTAATTGAGTGGTGTTCACTTGATTCTTCTTCTGGAAATTCAACACGACATCTGGTCGACAATAAAATGAAGTTGCTTTGATAATATCGTAATGAATGTCCCGAGGAAGAGTCACCTTTTCTTCTTGCCAGTTTGTCTTTGCAGTTTTTATTAGCAACTTTATTGCTTGACCAGGTACAAATCGTTCTTTACATGCCGCCTTTATCTCTTCGTCATACTGTAGTTCTATTTCCTTGCGTTTGCGAACAGCTTCCTGGCGACAAGCCTCCATTACTTTACTTCCAGTTAAGGATTTTGGTATGGATTTAATTTTCCAGTGCATGGGACCTGCCCAATGAATGGCTACACTTCGTTTTACGTAGGAATATTCGAAGGGTTGATTGTGACTCGCTGAGGTCACGGCGTCCCGGAAGTCTACTATATTTTCCACAGCATCATTTCGTTGAATGGCACATCTATTGACGTTTTCCATATCTTCTTCACTTTCGAAGAAATTCATGTCATTACCTAGAGGCTCGTCATTATCCGGAAGTGATGCGTCCAGGTCAAATTGATAATTTGTCTCGTTGTTTTTCGTCGTGTTATCATCCTCCTTCTCTTCTTCCGGTTCATCCTCAGCTGACCAGCCATTAAATTGAAAATTTGTGAACGGAGCACAAATTTCGCTGTTCAATATATTATCGATTTGGAGATATGAAACTTCTATGGGATCTTTCTGTTGTTCGGATTCATTGTTCTTGTTTGTATCTGCGATTACATCGTTATAAGGATGAAGATAGAATCCAGAGTATGCATGATGTGGTAGCATTGCTTGATGTAACATATCGGTTGTCTGTGAATCACCTTCTCGGTGCATAGCTAATGTCAAGTTTACTGTTTCTATGGTGCCCTTTAGACTCTCAATGCTGGTAAGGATTTTCTGATGCGATTTTTTCTTTTTCTTGACTTTTTCTTGTAATTGAGCTTGTTCAGCATTGTTATCATTTTGATCACCATCAGTTTGTGATAATACCTCTCTTGCTTGATCATCCTGTTTATCTAAGCCACCCATCATACGCAATATATCTGTATGCATTCCATCCACACGATATCCATAGATTTTAGTACTCACATCTAAGGAAGTACTTGCAACTTGTAAGTTTGTCATGTTGGTGTCTTTCTTCTTTATCATGTATGTCATGAAATCAATCATTTCTAGACTGAATGCATTTTTTATATTAATTTTGTTCTCTGCACTTAGTTTAATGCACTGAGTAACTCTTTCAGCCATTTGTGGCGCTGACATTTGAGCAACTAAACCCAATCCCAATGATCTGCGTTTGTTATTACTAGTTAGAGGAGTCATAGAACTACTATTTCGATCCAATTGTTGCAGTTCTCTCCTGCGTGCCAATCTCTCAGCTTCATCATCATTTTCAGAAAGAGTCACTGAGTTAGATTTTTGAGATACTATGGATTTCCTTCTTATGGGCGATGATGTGTTAATAATACCATTCAAGGAGTCCTCTCCATGAAAGAGAACCATACTTTTTCGAGCCAACATTTTTGCAATATTAAACAGAACCTTCTGTTTCTATTTTAATAATAGGTCAAGCTAGTGACACAAACTTGGTCTTAATTTAAGAGTGCTTATACTAATAATTTTGTCATATACTATAAATTATACTCTCTCAGAAGTCTGTAATTACTGATTGGCTAAAATAATTTCTGCAAGAGCAAAGGACACTTGGAATCTTCTATTTACCCTCAATAGCAGTAAAATTGTTGGTAATTTTTATAAGATCAGCCTTAATGTGACGCAGCAAAGAATAAAACTGTTGCAATTCCACATGAGTTTTCTTCAAAACCTCCAATTCGTGTAAGAGTTCCTGAAAGAATTAGATAATTCGACTTTAATGATTTTTCACATGAACCGCACTCCCAATACCGAATAATTGATTTTACGAACCTTGTTTGTCATACTTAGAATGCAACTTTTAAGATATTTAAACAAATTAAAACGTATTACAAGCTTAAACAACGAACTTATTTACCCATTTAAACTTGAGAATGGCGTCTTGTCAGTTTGAACTGGATTGAACGTTTCTACGTTCCTAAAGATGATAAAAAACATTCTGAAAATGAGTCAAATTTCTTTTTATATAACTACAACGAATAATGATTTTTTCTATTTAATTATATTCTATGAAGAGTAAAATCATAAAATAAAGCCTAACGGGTTTCCATTAGCAAAGTCGAATCAAAGAAGTTACACCTTTGATCATTTGAAAAATGTTCTAGTAGATCCGACCAATAGCAAAGCTACATATTGAGTTGTATCAATTCTGCTCGCCCAAATGGAAACACTACGACGGCCCACTGCAAAGGCATGCGCGAGCGATATCGAAGATTACCGAATATTCACGGAAAGACACGATTCTGTTCTGAGGAACGAAATGGCGGCTGTGACAAAGTTTTCGCCGCCCGTGTGAAGGATTCGCGTCGGTCTGACGCGCGAGAACTCGATATATCCGTCACCAGGGTGGCCTTAAAGGGACGCTCACAACTGGTGAGAAGACGTCGGGGCGCGTTTCAGTGCGCGATAAATTCGGGCGGCCCGATGCGGGTCGCAAGCGTTTTTCTGATCGCAAATGATGACTTCAATGCTGCCCAGCTTTAACCCGCCAATCGTGAAGCGGCTGCTGGGTTGGAAGAAGGCCGAGGGCGAGGACAAATGGAGCGAGAAGGCTGTTAAGAGCCTCGTGAAGAAGCTCAAGAAATCTGCGGGCCTCGAGGAACTCGAGAAAGCCATCACAACGCAGAACTGCAATACTAAGTGCATCACTATACCAAGGTACGCGTGTTTTCTATATGTATACATTTCTCCATTGCAGTGTGTATAACTATATTTACATATTATATTCCAATATCAAATCTACTCAATTTGCACTCTTTTACAGCAACGAGAACTCATCTTTTATCTCATCCTACACTTTCAAACATCTACTTGATCTTTCTACATTGCTTTCAGATCATCTAGCATTCTGTGATTAAAACTTTTTTTATTCATCCACTGTTGATCTTGTCACAAATTGTACGCATTACAAAATTTCAGTTAGTTGACTATGAAAAAAAAGATATATCATCTCAAAGAAATAATAAAACAGTACAGTAGAACACGAAGCTTGCCACACATAAAGATCTATGTTTACAAGTATCTCAGTAAATCTTTATCTATAAAAGTATTTATAAATTGTAAAAAAAACCAGTAAATCTCAAGTTTTCTCAGCAATATCACGTCTGAAAATGTTTTACACTTTGTTAGTAATAGTATCTAACTATCTACATAAAAAAATCAATGAATCTGCTTCATCATATAATATCTGATTTCTCATCTTACCTTCTCTCATTCAGGACTTAAAATTGTTACCAGTTTTCATATTCTGAAAATACGTTTCTTAAGAATTCTGTGTTATGTTAATGCAAAACGATGCATGTGCTTAGTAATACAAGTTAATATATGCACAACTAATGTGTACTCAATGTACACAGAGATGAGTTACCGGTGCATACATATATGTGTAAATTGCATATGAGGATAGTCTTCCCAGTCGTTCAAGGCAATTCTTATTGTGCGATTGTCCCTCCAGAATCGTGACGAGACGCTACAGTATTATGTATGCGTATTCGCACATGTGCGTTTTATGCGTTAGCTTACTTTCACGATCCGTACACGGATTGTCTTCTATCTTGCGTGTGCGAAACATAAATAGAGAAATAAACGAGATTCGTTAGACTACTCGAACAACGTTGAATTCTAGGAACTTTATGTCTACAACTATTTTTATACGCTGTGTGTTATATGCTTAAGTGAATTTAAAAATTTTGTATTTTCTCCCTCACTGTACAAATAGCAAGTCTTTCGGTTTGTTTATACCAATTTATTATTTCACTATGATTCGTACCAATTGATGTCATTATTGATCTGCTTCACCATGCGTCAGAATTACTCACATGTGTTACCAGTGCATTCAATATTTCATGATCTCAAGGATACTATACTCACAAATAAATATCACCATACGCCTACACATGTATATTCTATCGCTTATATGCCCAGATATCTTTATTTTTAAATATTGTATTTACAGTCTCCTAAAAACAAATGAAAACAAACATATGCACAACAACGTTATACATTTATTTATAAGCTTTAGTCCATAATAGTCATTTCCATTTAGTTAGATTGCGTAACATTAATGACATCTATACATATATTATTGCTCAATGCAATCCGATGTAAAATCCAACAACCGCTATTTCTCGTTTCTATTCGATTTTTGCATTAAACGGCGTTACGTCGAAAATGGCCGTTTCCTTTTACACAGGATGAGTAATACATGTTTGTGTATTTATATATGCACATATGTAATACATTATGTTCCTCTCAAGCATCGGCCATTGTCCATCGATCGATTCTCGTTGACGTTAAACCACGCGGCTTCTTGGCCCGTTAATTCGCCTTTGCCGACCAATTCGCACAGGGTTCGCCTCTGGTTGACTGTATTTTTAATAGCTGAACGTTTGCCATGGTGACGACCGACCTACCCCAATGTCAGTGTCGAAGTTTGTCACAGTTGCGCGGAGGAGCTAGCTAACGTTACAGCCGGGGAATCCCCTACTTTATTTTCTCTATTGTTCCTTCCCCTCGGACCGAACTTTCATTCCCGACCTAATCCGATGTCTATTTCTTGTGCATATGAATATTTTTAAGTCCCTCTTTATGTCGGACCGTTTCCTCCTTCTGTTCGGGTCACGTATTCACTTGTATGCACTTATATACACATATAGAGATTATATCACCAGACACTTCGCGCACACTGCCTGATATGCTGCAACAAACATGACTTGGATATATCCTGGACGAAAATCGATAGCTGCACCATGCAAACCTTGGAAGAACTATTTATTAATAGTGCATTCTTTTTACCGCCAAGCGGATCCTAGTCCGGGGATTCTCATGATTTTTAATGAATTTTGGATCTATGACATATAAGTACAGGAGACGCAATAGGTTTGACAGTTTTCATACGGTTGCTATGGTTATGTAAGACATGGGTTCATTTGATTATGCCATTTTTTAAGGTTGTACAGTGGTGTAATATCTATGATGATTTTATTCAAACGTTGTTTGAATTACGTTCACATAGGTACCCTACGTGGTTTTTGTATTTGTATAAGACGCGTCGGGCAAAGGATTCTTTTGTTGATTATTTAATTGTCTATACGTGTACTAGGTGCACTACCATTTTGTGTGCATGACTCTTTGTTAGTCGTATTTACAATTATTATTATTTTTTTTAAATATACACTAATGATACCGTCAACTTTGCCGACCCTTGGAAAGGACATCATCTTTCAAGCGTAGTGCTATCGATAACGTATCTACTTAGTACTTCAAGTTTATTATCTTATCAATGACGTTTATCGTGCTGTACATCTGCCATCTTTGTATTTGCTCCGTTAAGAGTGAAGACAAAGTGACAAAACAGATACAGTCATTCTACCTTGACACTTCGTAATCCAGGGTATACGTATCACGTTGTTCTTGTAGTAAGCGTTCGTAAAACCAACAAATGATCATTGACGCTTGAAATTATGTTTTAATCTAAATCATTCCCTCTCTAGTTAATTCCACGTAACGGCGATCGGATTTCGTGACGTTTGCTTATTGCCATTCCATCCGATTAAACCGCCTCTTATTTATATATGGAAGAATTTCATGGCAAACACGTTTGCGCGTTCCTAAGTCAGCGCGTCAGCAACTAGAGTCAAATTGTGACTTTGTAACTCCGAGACACAATTCCTCACCATCATCTGCAAGATCTCTTCCGTCATGTTTATATCGCACGTACATACAATATAAGCGTGTACTGCCGCTCGCCACAAGTCAGATATTAACCTAACCTAAGAGCGCGATGTATACGAAACGCAAGGAATTACGAGGATGCACTATCGCCAACGAAATTCAAGATACCGCAACGAAGCACAGAATTTTTCAATTCAAGGTCAAGGCTTGCACACGCAATTCACATCCGTAACTCCTGTGTCCCTGCTGCTTACGTATTCATTCGATCCAATAAAACAAACTAGAAGCACGAAAACGTAACGATCGAAATGCCAAAATATATAGGCGTAGACGATCAGGGACGCGTGCTCATGTAAAACGTACGAATGCGGTTTATATTTCACATGGGGTGACAAAACGTTTGTATAAATTTCCGCGTAACCATCGGAGACTGACGGTGGCGCTGAAGTCGTACGTACGGATACTCAATTCGTATGGGTTGATCGACGAAAATGTACCACTGACTCGGGAAGATGTATAGCCCAGTAAACCGCATGACAACGCAAGACTCTTTCGGTACACGCGAATTAAGGTACTACGTAAGTCAGATTTTATGCTCGCAAACGACACTCCGCGCGTCTTTTAAACTTTCTTGAGGAAACGCACGCGTCCCCGCGCATACCCGCGCACTTCTTACTCGTTGTAAAAATAGCGTCTTGTCGACATCCAAGGTTTACTTTTGTACTATTTGTTTACATCCTGCCTGCCTGGCTATCCCCGCGCTACTTGTTTCTCTTAGTCGACGCCATTGGACATGGACTCGCGCAGTTCTACCAACTGCAATAGGTCTAATATATTTATATAGGTATGAAAATACTTAATAAATTTATTATTTTTCTTCTCCCTGGGCTAAACTATTATTACGTCCTTGTCAGTTACCGGAAATATTCGGTGTGGGCGATTTAATCGAATTATCCTACTTCATAGGGAAAATCGCGCTGGTATTCAAAACTCTTTTGTGGATCTTGAGTTTTTTTAATTGTACTGGACTGACAGGCATTTTGGAGAGGGTGATTAGCGTTATACCTTTGGAAAAATTTATCGCTCGGTGGTAGAGGGGTTGAAATCAGAAAGCAGGAGGGGAAGAAGGAGAGAATGGGATGGGAAGGGCAGAAAATATAGTGGAGAGTGTAGGAGAGGATAAAGAGAACGAGGAAGAGACAAGGCAATCGAAGGGAGGAAGAAATTAATAACAGATAAAGAGAAGAAAAATAAGATACTGGAAAAAGATGATCAGCCGTTGATGATCTCTGTGTCAAATTTCTCAACAGGATCTTCAATGTCTTCACAGCACCCCGTACTTAGCCCTAAGTATATGTGGAGTAGTTACAAACGGGCTAGGAAAGTGATTCGTGTCTTGAAAATTTCTAAGAGTCGATTGGTTTTTGAAAGAAACAGAGCTCCGAGTCAACGCACCCCTTATATCCTCAATTACACTTTTTAATCCCTGTGCAATTTGGAAAATTTTTAACCTAGAAGTCCAGCGATTATCCTTCTACTTGTCCCGTACTACGAGTAGTACCTATGCAAACTAGAACGACGACTGATAATCTTAATTGTATTATTGATAAGGATCTACCAGTAATAAAAAGTTGATCGTGAATTAATCATGGGGGGGGGGGAGCATTCATATATTTTAGAGATTCACAAAAATTGCTGTCGAAGTGTCGTTCGGATTGTCCAAATACAATTGATTTTGGAAAATAATCGTAGCGAACTACGTGAAATCGATCTTGGCACCAAAACCGGATCCATAAGGATTTCGAGTACTATTGCACGTCATAGGATGTTATCTCTATACGGCTTACCGATCACTTCCACTTCTGGGTCATTGAGACCTGCCTGCACGTTTACATAAGAAATATACAGACCATTCACAATCTACTGATTTACAGCCTGAACGCCATCTATTTATCGAACAGGAGAAACAATTGACATTCTTTGTTTACGTAATACGCGGGTAAATTTAATGTACGGTTCTCCAACGCTCATCGCAGAATATTATACGCAATGTGAATGCGATCAGTCATGTAACTGCGAAGCAGTGGTTTTGTATTCTAAGAAATGAAATTCAATTGAAGCCCACCCTTGTCATTCAATTCTATGCTAGGGAATGGTGTTTGTCATTTTCTTGAATTTGTATATGATGTTTGTGTGGGTCGAGAAGAGCTGTCGCTGGGCATTCTAGTACGGAAATCCGAAGTGACCCGAATAAACGACAATTCGGTGAATCTGACGTAGCTGTTTTGCGTTAACTTTATATCCCGTTTCAGGCCTAGCCCAGGAGGTGTTGGCGATACTGGGGTGCAGGGAGTGCGGGGCAAGGGTCTACCGCACGTGATCTATTGTCGTTTGTGGCGCTGGCCGGATTTGCAGTCGCACCACGAGCTCAGGGCTATCGAGCATTGCGAATACGCCTTCACCCAGAAGAGGGACGAGGTCTGCGTGAACCCCTATCATTACCAGCGAATACAGACACCAGGTGGAGTATTCAGTTTTATTGTGAATGAGTTGACAAGTTGTTGAACATTTTTGTTTGTATGGTAATGTGATTGATTTCATTCTATCTTCTTTTTTTTTTTTCATTTAGTTTTACCGGCCATACTCGTACCACGGCATAGTCTATCGGGTGACGAGTCAGTTCTTTACAATACTTCCCTGGAGGAATTGAGCGTAAGCGTACCCGAGAACACTAGTTTCCACGCCACCTTGAATCATCAGCATCATAATCAACAGGGGATACCGCAATCCCCTCAGCAGCAACCAAATAATCCGTACCAAGGAATGCAGGTTAGTGTTCGGTTGTAGTATCCGATGGAGTCGTGTTTTCATTTCTTTTTCTCCATTCATTGTCAAATAATTATCATCTTGGATTCACAGAGCATGCAGGCTACGAGTCCCGCTAGTGTTGGCAGCCTTGGCAGCGTTCAGGGCTCGCCGCATCCACCTCCAGGATCTATGGATCCTCCGGCTGATACTCCACCGCCTGGATACATAAGTGAAGACGGTGACAATATGGATCACAACGATAATATGTCACTATCGCGCCTTTCGCCTAGTCCTGTTGATGCGCAACCTGTTATGTACTGCGAGCCGGCATTCTGGTGAGTTCGTAGTGGTGATTCATGCGAGGGAGTGGGGGGAGAAGGACGTTGTATGATATAATGGTAGTTGATGTAATTCAATTTTAAGAATTTTCTGTGGAAACGTGTCTTATTTCTTAATTAGGTGCTCCATAAGCTACTACGAGCTGAACACGAGAGTCGGCGAGACATTTCACGCATCTCAACCAAGCATAACCGTGGATGGTTTCACGGATCCTAGCAATTCAGAACGTTTTTGTTTGGGTCTGTTGTCGAACGTGAATCGTAATACCGTAGTAGAGCAGACCAGACGACACATTGGGAAAGGTGTCAGACTTTATTATATCGGCGGGGAAGTCTTTGCGGAATGTCTTTCGGACTCCAGTATTTTCGTCCAGAGTCCAAATTGCAATCAGCGTTATGGATGGCATCCGGCTACCGTTTGTAAAATACCACCTGGTGAGTAACAGCTGTAGTTAATCAAACCATGTGTCAAATATTAGTTTATCAACTGTCCAAAGCCGAAGGATGATCTGGTGATTATTTGTATGAGAAAAAAAAAGATTAAGAAAGAACTCATCCTTCGGTTTGATTTAGACTTAGAAAATCTTCAAGAATTCCATACCCTCCTATCAGGATCCCCTATGATCCTTTGTTGACAGGTTGCAATCTGAAGATCTTCAATAACCAGGAGTTCGCTGCTCTTCTCTCCCAGTCCGTGTCACAGGGCTTCGAAGCTGTTTATCAACTAACGCGGATGTGCACCATTAGAATGAGCTTCGTGAAAGGTTGGGGCGCGGAATATCGTCGGCAAACCGTTACGTCGACGCCATGTTGGATCGAGCTGCATTTAAACGGGCCTTTACAGTGGCTCGACAGGGTTCTCACGCAGATGGGTTCGCCACGGCTTCCATGCTCATCGATGTCATAAGGCGAGTAATCGACATTTCCAAGTGCGCGACTGAGCACGCAAATAGACAACCGTTTCCGAGAGTTGAAACTCGAGAGAAAACCGCACCGAGGCTTCTATCGCATCTACATTTTTTGTCCGGTGCGTACAGAATTCTTTGGGATGACTTGAGAAAAAAAATGCAAGATGGTTAGAAAAATATCCGCTCGACGGCGCCAGGTGCGCTGTCACGTATCTTTACGTCTGGATGCCTCGCTATTACTGAAAATAAAAGCATTCATTTTCATCCGGTCGACGATAGAGCGCGCATGCGAATGGAAATACAGAGAGAAGACGCATGTTTATTAGCTAAGAGTAAACGGAAGTCGAGTTCCGTGTCCGACCGGAGTGACTTCCTGTTTAGGGCTCGACCAAATCCACCGATATAAAAATGTAGATTTATAAGCATGATTGTTTTAAGTGAAAAAGAAAACATGGAAGGAAGAGAAGAGAGACATTCAAAGAACAAAAAAGGCTCGTAACTGACTCGCGCACTTTTTATTATGCGCACTAAAAATTATGAAAGATTAAAAAAAAACATTGATGACTCTAAGAACACTAAGGACGCATATTCCACGCACTATTTGAGCGCGAATTCTCAATTGAACGCGTGCGGCACCTATCTATATATACATACTGTGGTTATGAGAAGTATATGTATATGTATATACAACACACACGACACACGTACCATAATTGATATACACGAACCAGGGTGAATTGAAACATAGACGAGTATACATATGTAGATTGAAGCGAAATATATTATTATAATGTGTTGCTACCTTTTACATATTTTTATGATATGTAAGGGAAACCCGCATCCGCTGTGTCTTCGCAAGATACATAAACGTTATTTATATACCAGACCGTCAAAGAGAATAATGGGCGCGCGAAATTTCGCGCCGTTCTTTAATATTATAAATATTATACAAACAGATAACAATAGGTTCTCGTGCATTTTGGCCGAAACTACGGACACGTCCCGAAACAGTCCTCCGGATATTGATCCTTTCCTGGGTCGTAAGACATTTTTTTACTATCTTTTTTTTTCATTTTTTTTGCGGCTGAACAACGTCACTTCAAGATACGATGGTACTACACTTTTGTCTTTTAATATCAACACTTATCACTTCGTTGCTTGATGTATATATATGAAAGAAAAAGAAAAAAAATGTACTCATTTTTTTTGTGCTACGTGACAATGTATTGCCAATCGCGATGAAAATGAGCTGATAAAACTAAAAATCAGTGTATCCATGTGTTAGAAATTATATGAATTTTTTTTTCGCACTATACATAATTACATTATAGATACTGTGTCGAGATAGTCAGAAATCATGAATGTGTGTGTATGCCTGTGTGTATGTTTTAAACTCTTGCCTCCCCAAATGGACGACTGAACCTTCGTTTCCTCCAACGGTAAAAGAGACGAAGAGTGATCGTAGAGTAGCAAAGAGTGAAAAGAAATAGGAAAAGGAAAAACACGAGTGTCCTTGTCATTCGCGTCATATATATACAATTCATCGCGTTTAAAGAAAAGAGAGAGAGAGAGAGAGAGAGAGAGAGAGAGAGAGAGAGAGAAAATGATGGCTAAATGGAGTTCGGGTCCTCCTTTAAGGAGACGACGAAAAATATCGCTACGTATTATGGTGTCTTATCTTAACTAACCGCTATTCTTATTAAGGATAGAAGCATTACTTCTTACTAGAGGATAAGGATATTGTAACGGCGCGCAATCTGTGGGCGAGCAGAAATATCTTATTTACTAATATCGGCGTAAGGAAAAATGAAATATTATCGAGTTTACGAGGCGTCGCGTTAGACGCTTTATATTTATAATGAAATACGAATAGTCTAGTATGTCAGAGGCTAAGAGAATGAGAGATGCTAGTGTGTAAAAATTGAATTTTGAATGATGTGGATATGCGAATGATGACGATATACTATATGAGGGTTGAAAAGAGAGAGAGAGAGAGAGAGAGAGGGGGGATAGTGCATAAATGTGCGTTATAAGTGTTATAACGAGAGAACAAAAGAAAGGATAGACGTACGTATATGCATACATATACGTACAGATTCTGTGTATATCGTTTCTTTTGTTTTCAACTCGTTTACTTTTCTTCGCTTCCCTTTTTCGCACTGACCCTATCGTTCAACGAATCATTTTCGAATCAGTGCAATTTTATAAATAACCAAGAAATTACACCTCGCGATGTATAGTGTTTTAGTGCTTTTGCGAAAATCGTAAACTTTTTGTAATTTGCTTTTTTGTTCCTTTTCTGGTCTTGTTCTTAGATTCATTTTCTTAGTTGGTTTGCCTGGAGGAGGGGCCATGGTGCTTTCGTAATGAGGCTCTGGTCGCTCGTTTTGAAAAATCTTTTGGGATGTAAAAATTTGGACATTAAGGTTTGTAGGGCGAATCGGGGGCGGGCGGGGGGGGGGGTTAAAA